TTTGTTGTGTCTTGTTTGTTTAGTTAAATTTACCCCTCATCACCTAAGTATCAATTTCAGGGACATACGTCAATCCTTGAGCAACGTCGAAACTGGCGCTGACTTGGAAAGTGCTGACCGTACCGTTGTGGTTCTGCTCTGTTGGTTTTGAAATCCTTGAGCGGGGGCGAAACAGGGGTTAAGGAAGAAGAAAAGTTTTTGGGTTGACGTCCAGATCTAAAAGGGCTACGTTACGTTGTCATAGTTGTTGAAAATTTGAAGTTGGAAATCAGTTACGAGGTAAGCCATATACTGTATTTGTCAATTTCATTATTGGGCATCAGCATGAGTCACTTTAAGTTGTATGTATGACTTTAATGTTTCAGCGGAGAGTCATTTGCATGTCATATGTTAGTTAATATATATTGTAAAGCTGTTTGAAAGCATGTGCCAAATATTGGGCATCAGCATGAGTCAGATTAGGTTGTATGTATGTCTTTAAATGTTTCACCAGAGAGTCATTTGGATGTCATATGTTAGTTGATATATATTTTAAAGCTGTTTGAAAGCCTGTGCCAAATATTGGGCATCAGCACGAGTTACGTTAGTGTGTATGTAGGTCTTTAATGTTTCACAGATAGTGATTTTAATGTCATATATGATGGTGGTGATGTGATATTCAGGGTTAAATTGCAAGAACTGTGAAATGGAGTGCGAAGGACAGGTGATACCGGAAGTTAGTTCGGAATTGAAACCAAAATTGGGACTTGAATTTGATTGCTGTGAGGATGTGTTCAACTTCTATAATATGTATGCCGCGAAAGCCGGATTCGGCATTCGGTCAGTGGCGGAGCCAGAAAATTCATCAAGGAGGGTCAACCTCAAAAATTAAAATCATCGCATAACAAGATAAATTTACATAATAAAACAAAGTCTTTAGTAATAACTCATAAATCATTCCAATACATTCACAATCGTCCTCAACGAGTTTTCATCTCTTGAATAGAATAGGTTTAATTCACGCAGTGCAAAGTTGAAATAGAATAGGGTTAATTTAAGTAGTGCAAAAGGTTGTCTTCTTTAGCTTTTAGGTTAGTAGTTCTTTAATTAAGAAGTTATTAAAAAAAGGTAAAGAAAAGAAAAAAGGAAAGCTGAGATTGGGAAGGGTCATATATTAATAATAATTTATATACAAAGGGTAAATAGTATTGAATGGGGGGTTAATTAAGGAATTTCAGGAGGGTCAGCTGACCCTTGAGGGCCTGCATTGGCTCCGCCCTTGCATTCGGTGTTCTACAACGAGAACGTGCACATTCACAGGAAAGGTAACAAGGAAAGAATATGTATGCTGTAAACAAGGGTATGCGTTGACAAGCACTGTTAGTCGTAAGAGAAGACAGCGAG